GACCTGAGGATGAAAGAGAGAAAGACCAAAAGGAAGCCAGGAATCGCAGAGGAAGAAGCATCATGACTTAGGGACTTGAAAGTTTGGCTGCCAAAAATGCTGCCTGCTTTAATCCATGATGTCTAATAAAGGAAGAGCTTGACAGTTCAAACGGGAGTGAAGAACGTTCCGTACGCAGATGGATTTGGATATAATGATCTATTTTAAAAAGTCATTTGCTCAGGTTACCCCAGCAGTGAATGTTGGAATTGAATGCTGATACCTCCTTGTGTGTGAATTTGAAGTTGAAAAACAAGAGTAAACATAGAGGTAGGTGGCCTGCACCTGGGCTGATGCCTCCTTGCTGCCCACAAGGCCACAGACCCTGCTTCATTTCCCCTTAATTTTTGAGTCACTTTTCAGAGGTGACTCAGCCAGAATACCATCCTTGCAGGTCCATTGTCTTTTTGTAAAACCAGTGAAAAGGCATTATAGATTTTTGAGGACTCAGACTGTATACAGTTAGTCAGAAATAATAATGTGCCACTAAGAAGAGTTTTTGTCCAGGGTTTTTGCTCTGGATAAATCTGTTCATCCACACAAGTCAAGCTGACTCTTCATTCATTTAATCGCTTACCCATCAGCAAATGGGTGCTGTGTGTCTGCCGCAGGCCAGGCACTGACCCCTGGACCTGCAGAGGCGATGACTTAGCCTTGCCCGGGGAAGCTCCTCAGGTGGTTAGCCAGCTGTGGAGGGCAGCCAGCGCGGTGAGGACTGGTGAGTGGTGTGGTACAGCTGGGCATACGACATCGTGGTGCGAGTCACAGAAGGAGCGTCAAAGGCAAGCCAGGAAGGCAGTCTCCTGGGCTATTTCTTGGTGGGAGGGGTAGGTAGGTCGGCCAGAAGGCAGAGGTAGAAGTGTAAGGAGTAGCTAGAGTGAGACAAAAACCAGAGGGTGAAGGAAATCAGAAATTCTGGGACACCATCAAGGGGCATTAGGTAGGGGATATGACACATTGAGAGTAATGCTTCAGAATTGCCTTGGTGACCATGTAGATCATGGGCCGGAGGGTGGACCTGGGAGCAGGGAGAGCAGCGGAGAGTTTCTGAGTCACGTAGACAGGTTCTGCTGGGGACCTGAATGAAGGCGGTAGCAGTAGAAATCAAGGAAAGGGACAGGTTCACACACTATTGGGAAGGTAAAAATTTTGGGTACTGGTACCTATTTGGATTTGTAGGGCAAGGAACAAGAGGGGTCTGAAATGGCTCCCTGGTCAGGGTTGTGGGGGTGACCAGCAGAAAGTAAAGTGGTGCTGTTCCTGAAGCAGGGAGCCTTGTAGGACAGATCGGGGGTGTGATGGGGGTAGGATCTTAAGTGTGAAGCATGCCAAATCCGAGATGCCGATGAGTATCCGAGAGGAGACATCTGTTGGCAGGTGGCCTTTCCGGACTGGAGCGCAGCAAAGATGTGTGGGCTGGAGAGGATATTTGGACTCATCAGCAAATGTAGTTGTTGAAGCCCTTTATTTATTGGTAAATAGTAGGGGCATGCAGTCAGAGTCGGCTTCAGGGGTGTACAACCCACGCGGTCGTGCAGGCCCCACTCAGAAGGGTCCTGCAACTGGTTTATTGCTTTGCTGTCAGCAGCTTAAAACTCTCATTGACAGGAGATGCTGCGTTTTTATTTCTCACTGGGCCCTGGACGTTGTGTAGCCAGTCCTGCTGACAGTGGCCTGGTCCTGTGTACAGCGCTGGGGCTACGGCGTCCAGCAAGACAGACAGAGTTCTTGCCTTAGGAGTTAGCCGGCTGCTGTGGAAGGCAGACAGTGAGTCAAGGACAGAATGTGGTGGTTCTGTATGAGAAGGACCAGAGTAAGGGAGCTCGTAGGAGAGATCTCTGAACCTAATCCCAGGGGTTAAGGAGATGGGAAATGAGATTGCCCAGGGGAAGGGATCAGAGAGACAGAGCCATGGCCTTCAAAGAAGTGTGACAGGGAGTGTCCTTGGGGATAGGCGGAAAGCCAGGAGAACGAGTGTCCCCGATGCCAGGATGGGGACCGGTTGTCAGGTACTGCCACAGAGTCTGTGGTCATGGGAATGTGGTTGTGCCCAGCGGCTATAGCAACCAAGAGGCCATTCGATGACTCCTGAGAGCAGTTGGGTAAAGAGAGGAGCAAGAATGAACTTACCTCGAGGGGTCCATGGGAGGTGAGGAAGTAGAGACCCCGCATGTACATCGTTATTTATAAACTTTGGCTTAGTAGGAAAGAAAAAAGAACAGCCTCCCTGAGTGGGTTCTGGATGAGGAGAGTATCATTTGTTTGGGTTTGGTTGGATTTTAGTCACAAAGAGCCTGGAGCATGGTGTTGAACTGTGGGTGGGAAGCCGTGGAGTCTGGGAGCAAGTGCTGTAGGGAAGAGTCTGAGGAGGGCAGCGATGGGCGGACTCGCCTGGCCAGGAAGAGAAGAGGGAGAGATAGCTGCGGGAGCAGGTGCATTTTAGGGTGAGGCCCTCAAGACTCTGTGAAGTCGGCCCCACTTTACTTGTGTGAGTGAACGGCTGCTGCCTCTTAGTTTTCTCTTTTTGCCTCAAATGCAGCGAAGAGTTTCTCCTAGGTTGTGTCATCTGTCCCTCCATTTAATACATACTCATCAGGCTTATGCTGAGTGACAGGCGCAATGCCAAGCATTTGGAGTAGAAGAGTGCACAAGATAAACAAGGGCCTAGACCTCCTGACAAGCAGGTCCCAGCGGAGACGCCTTGGTGCCCTGGTGGGGGGTGCTGGCTGCTCCCCGCGGGCCACGCCCACACTGCCTTCCTCCGCCGCCGGGATTTCCTACCTCCTCTCTAACCTCCCTACCTTCCTTCTTTTTCCCATTATCTTTTACTTCCTTCCTGGATATCCACCTTTCCTAGTTTGAGCCTGGAAGCTGGAATTCAGGGGCCATGTAGAGAAAGGGAAGAAAAAGAGTTAAGACTAGCTTTAAGTAAAGGTTTGAAACAGAAGGTTGCCTTTGGCATTTCTGACTGAATGGCGTTTGCTGTCCTTACCCGGGTTCTCAGGCCCTTCTTGCTACCTTAGGAGTCGGCGCTGACCTAGACCTTCACGTTTCTCCATCCTCTGCCAAAGTCCCTGCTCCCTTATTGTAGTTATTCTCAACTGATGCCCAGGACTTCAGTGAACTCACACTGATAGGTGCGTGGTGGATGCCGCCTTTGAGGGGGGAGGGTTGCATTTTACAAGTGGCTCTAGGTTTATAGGGAGGAATCTTTCATCTGTCCTGTTTTAGGACAGGACAGGCAGCGTATGAAAAGAAGTGACACAAGTACCGAAGCTGGAGCTGTCCTCTTTGTAGAGTCGGCTCCCGTAAATGTTTCCATTTTTCCCAGCTTCCACCATTTTTCTCCAAGATTCTCTAAAGTCCCCAGGATTTTTGTTGTCATCCCCTCCCTCCCACCACCACTAGATACTAGATTCTGTGGCAGGCAGCAACTGGGCACAGGGGGTAAGTGGTTTGGGGGGGTCATGACAAGCTGCGGCCCTCACAGGGACTGTTTCCATGTCAGGGACTGCGGGGCGGGGGGGGCGGGGGGGGGCTTCTGGGCGCAAAGAACGCAGCCTGTCCTAGAGTCAGCGAGGCATCGCCCCGAGCTGGGCTCGTTCATTGCAGGCACCTCCGTGTTTGCGGGTCTTCGCACAGTGTGTCAGGTCTCAGGTGCTGCCTGTAACAGGGAGCTTTGGCTCAGGACAGAGCACAATTCCCCAGGCCACTTCCACGCGTCATAGAAATGGCAGCCCTCCACCATAAGCGATCAATAGCTGGGAGGTGGCCGTCAGGGACCACTTGGACACGAGGCCTGAGCACTGGAGGCCCCGCCGGGAACAGGCCTGGGAAAGGCCGCTCTGTGGTTATTGATCCTGCAGCCTCTCCTTCAGACGCTTGCTCTGGGAGACTGTGTGCGCTCAAAAGTCCCTGAGTCAGCAGTAGCCCTTGGGCACGTTTTTTGGAAGTGTGTGAATTCCATGGGCTTTAAGATGGGATGAGAGTGGATTTTCCTGGACCCAGGCTGTTACCCTGGGAACTCAGGGCCTCGGTCAGGCAGGCGCCCTGAGGTTCCAAGGAGCCTACAGATCGCCCGGGGATCTGACTACAGTCCAGATTCTGACACAGTGAATCCAGGGCGGCACCTGAGAGTCAGCATTTCTGACAAGTTTCAAGGCGAGGCTGGTGCTTCTGGCCCCAGACACTGAGAAACAAGGGTCTAGAACTGTACTGTCGACTACATTAAACATCAGCCCCTTGTGACTGCTTGAACATAAAGCTATATTAATGAAAATGACATAAAATAGAAAATTTCATTTCTTGGCTGCCCTGATTGCAACTCAAATGCTACATACCCACACATGGCTACCATATAGGACTGCACAGGTTAAAACATTCTGTTATCACAGAAAGTTCTAGTTGAGCCCAGGCTGGTGTGGCTCAGTGGATTGAGCACGGGCCTGTGTACCAAAGGGTCGCTGGTTTGATTCCAGTCAGGGCACATGCCTGGGTTGTGGGCCAGGTCCCCAGTAGGGGGCACTTAAGAGGCAGTCACACATTGATGCTTCTCTCCTTCTCTTTCTCCCTCCGTAAACATAAATAAATAAATAAATCTTTAAAAAGAAAAAAGAAAGTTCTATTGGCGAACAGTAGTCTAGAGTGAGCCTCTGTTTTCATCCTTCATTTATTCACTGAAAATCTGTGAGGTACCAGGTAGTATGCCTGGGGCTGAGCATTAATGGGAGGGTCCTGGGGGCAGGGAAAGTTCAAGTAAGCTCTCCAGAACGCGATGTTTTTGAAGTGCAGATGCCCGTGATGCGGTAGGGACCGGGGCTGGCAGCAGGGAGCTTTGCCGTGCAGGGTGGAGAAGGCCTCACCTGGGCGTTTCATTGGTGTTCTCAGCCAGCCTGCGGCTTTAACACAGAATCGGGGCACCTGTGGGATCGGCTGCTGACAATGCGTTTTCACCATTTCAGGGCCATAATCATCAGAAATGGAGAAATCATCCCCATGTCTTCGGAATTCACCCCCGAGACCGAGCGCCAGCGACTTCAGTACCTGGTAAGAGTCACGTAGGTTTGGCAGAGCGCCCCGGCGTCAGGGACGGCGTTGGGGCTGTTTCGGAGGAATGTGTCGCTGCTGACATGGAGCAGGCCCACAGCAGTCAAACGGCATATGGTGTGAACGCCCCCCCACCCCCCAGCACACATCCTGGCTCTGTGTGTGAGGGAGCCACCCCCGTGCATTTATTATGGTGGCTGGTTTTCTCCCATCTGCGGCCGGTCAAAGCCGCGGCATGTTCTGTTTCTTTTAATGGTGTGGTGCACACAACGTGAGGTGCGGTGTTGAGGAGTGCGGACCCCTCCTTCCGTAGCCGGCCTCGCCACTCACTCTAATTTAAGCAGAGGGGCTCGGTCTGAATCGCATCTCGAGAAGGATGGCAGGGCCGAGGTCCCGCTGACACGCCACTTACTTCATGCTCCGGTACCAGGTCTCTGTGGGAGAGACGCAGGTGTCTGTTTCTACCCTGAAAATAAATTCTGCATATAGATCGCTGTCTTTGGGATAAAGTCACGGGAGGGCTGTGGGGGGGTGTTTGTTTTTTCACATCTTGAGAATTGTTGCTTTACTTGAAGAGTTGAGTTTTCTGGAAAACAGGACAGACTTCCCTGCCCTGACAGGGGGTTAGACTCTCAGCTCAGTGACTCGGCTCATCCTCCTGGCTTCCTTTGGGTGGGGCATCTTTGGGGACTGACTGTGTGAATAGTTCTGTGGATGAAACAGTTTCTTGGCAGCTGGCTTTCTTTTTAGACAATGTAGCTAAAGCAGCGGCCCTCTGCTCTTGGAACAGAAAAGATCCAGTCCCCACGAGAAGGACTTTGTTCCTGCGTCTGAATTTCAGCACCTGTGGACGGCCAGGGTTGGGTTACTTGGGTCAGTTTAGACACTTTCGCTCAATTTTCTCAAGTCTTTTTGTTTGTTTTACTCAGTAACTAGCTGTGTTGCTTTGGGTAGTTATCTGGTATATAAACCAGCAGGAATCTAGAAGCAGTGGAAAACATTTCTGCGCTCCTTTACAGACTTTTGTTTTCTAACCTTTCTGTTGTCGTTTTCAAGCAGATCCACTGAAGCCTCTCCTAGGTGCCCTGACTCCCTTCCCTTCCCTCCCCTTCCCTCCCCTTCCCCTTCCCCTTCCCCTTCACTTCATTTTTTATTTGAGAGAGAAGGGGAGGGAGGGAGAAAGAGAGAGAAACATCAATGTGAGAGAGAAACATTGATCAGCTGCCTTGCACACAGATTGAGGACTGAACCTGCAACCTAGGCATGTGCTGTGACTGGGAATTGAACCAGCGACCTTTAGGTTTGCAGTTGACACCCAAGCAACTGGGCCACACTGGCTGGGGCTAGAAGCCCAGGCTTGAGAGCTCTTCATTTTCCTTGGTATTCGGGGCAGATGGGAGGGATACTGCAGCATCCATGGAGGGTCTTCATTGTGGTCCCAGCTCTGTTACTTGCCAGCTGGGTAGCTTTGTGCGAGTCTCTTAACATTTCCAGACCTCAGTTTCTCACTTATAAAATAGAGAGCTAGATTAGAGGGTCACCAAGGGCCGTAGATCCTCCAGGGTGTCTTCCAAGTAGAGTTCATCACAGCAGCCCCCCTTGCCACCTGTCTGATGTTCTCCAATCCATCTCCCACAAAACCACACAAGTAATCTAATCACAGCCCTCCTCACTTCCCTGCCTAAAAGCCTTTGGCTCCCCAGTGCACAGAACAGCATACAGGCCACACGCGGCAGACCCAGAATCGTGGGCCCCTCCCGCCTTCCCAGCATCACCGGGCTGCCGCCCCCACTGACACCACCGTGGGTCCCAGGCAGCGGCCACAGGCAGCGGTTTCCACTGTAGGACACACCGCGATCTCTCCAGCCTCTGTGCCTTTGGAAACTTGCCCTGCCTGGATGACCCTTCTGCTCTTCTCTGCCAGGAAAACTCCTCCTCATTCTTTGAGACCCCATAGCAAACGTCACTGCCTCCAGGAAGACGCCTGTGACCTTCCCAGGGGGTCAGTCCCCCGCACCCACACAGCACTGCGTCAAGGCCTTGCGGTGTTGTGCTGCTGGTTCCAACCCCAGTCCCGCCTTGCAGACCGAGTCCTGGAGGGCAGGCCCCTCACTTAGTCACCTCATATTGCCAGAGGGGGTGGTGAAGGGGGGGGGTCTGTTGAATGACTGCGAGGATGAACTGTATTCAGACTGACCTCTGCATCATCGCCGCTCAGTCCTCCCCCCTCCGCCGTCCCCGGAGGCCAGTCACAGCGCCCCGTCCTTCGCCTCCCTGCCTCGACAGCACCCTGTCTTCACCACCTCCTTGCCCCCCTAGTGGAAACTATTTCCTGTTTTCTTGCTGGAGGCAGTGGGTGATCACAGGTTCACCTTTTTTTGTTCTGAAACAGTTTCACATTTTTATGTTACCTGAATGGAACCAAAGCTCCCAGTGTTGACTTTTGAGGTCGGGTGGGAATGCTGACATTTGTCAGGTTCCTGGATATCAGGTGTCTGTTTTGAGATGGTTGGAATAAGATGTGTGCAGCTTCAGGTACCAGCTCTGTCACATAACTGCGCCCGTGATTTCAAGAAGACCCTTTACCGATCCCCAGTGCCGTCATCCGCAGTGGGTGTAGTACCTCAGAAGGCAGTGTAAGGCTAAAATGGAAGACTGCCTGCAGAAATCTTTTGCAGCACCTAGTACTCGTTCAGTTATTGGTTGTTGAATCCAACTCTTGCCACTTCAAATCCTGTTGGCCCACCAAGCACAGTAATATTTTTATCCTTGTTTTTACTTAGTAATCACTCTTGCCCCTGATCAGCGTCACTCACTTGGTGAAGCATCACCCCACAAAGCAAAAGATGGTTGGTTCCATTCCTGGTTGGGGCACAGGCCCGGGTGGCGGGCCAGGTCCCCGGCTGGGGTGGGTGAGAGAGGCAGCCAGCCGATCAACGTTTCTCTCACACATCGATGCTTTTTTTCCCTACCTTCCTCCCTCTCTAAAAATAAATAAATAAATAAAATCTTGAAACAAATCGTTGCTAATATTCCTAAGATTAAGGTGTATTTTGTGTCACTCTTGATCAGTGTGGATACTGAGTCTATGTGGATACACTGACTCAATCCTCAGAACTAAGTGTAATGTCTGAATTTCTAAAAAGTGGTAACACTGTCCCCATTCTTTGTCATCCTCACTCCTCAATAATAGAAGTTTCTCTGTAACTAAAACTTTTCTCCCCAGACAACAGGAGTGTAAGTGAACAGAACGGGAAATATCCCGGTGGTCGAACCTCCTGTTTTGTTGGGAGCCTAGGAACACATGCTGTGAGACGGACAAACCCGGGGGTGATGGTCCCGGGACCAGTGGTGCAAATCCCTGTGAAGTATTTGAATCAGAGGATTCATGGCATAACGTAACCTTGTGGCGAAGTCTTAAGTATTGAGAGAATTCGGACTTTTTAGGGTAAGATCTTGAAAATAATTCCAGCGGGAGGGACATGGAGTGTGATGTGGACCCTCCAGCCCAGCGCCAGCTGTGGGCCCTGCGGCCCGAAGCCCCTCCCACGGGGTCTCTGCATCTCCTGCTCCCGAGTGACGTGCTAGCAGCGCTTCCCTTGAGATGCGCGTGATGTGTTCCACAGTCGAGACGAGACACAATCCCACGGTGATGCAAAGTACGGTGTCTATCTTGTAATTTCGAGTGCATCTCATTTTACCAATTCTTTTTTTTAAATAGTTTTTCTGAACTAACTGTGAAACCATTTAGTGTGAGGATAGTTGTATCGTTTCTTAAAAAACTATTTTTTAAAGATTTTTATTTATTCATTTATTTTTAGAGAGGAAGGCAGGGAGAAAGAGAGGGAGAGAAACACCAATACATAGTTGCCTCTCGTGCACCCCCCACCCCCCACTGGGGGGACCTGGCTGGCAACCCAGGCATGTGCCCTGACTGGGAATCGAACCCGTGACGCATTGGTTCTCAAGACAGCGTTCAGTCTGCTGAGCCACACCAGCCAGAGCGGATAGTTGTATTGTTTATGTGATTTAAACAAGTTAGTACATACCTGGGAGGTTAATGATGTATTCTTCATTCTGAGGTCCAATTAAGTTTTATTTTTATGATGCGTGAAGAAACATTTATGACAGATTTATTAAAACTTCCAGGTCCTTCAAGACTTGATCTGAGAAGCTGCCTACAGTCCCAGGACTGTTTGACTTGTAGAAGCAGTTAATGATTTTCTTGGAGGTGGGGAGGGCTGAGAGCCCTTTGCACACGAACTATTTTGATCTACGTGGAAGAGGAATGTTCTTGGTATGCACAGTCTGGATTTGGGGGGATTGTAGAACTGGAAGCAAATTACAAGATGATGGATGTGGCAGGCACGTTCATTTTGTTTGGTCTTGCGTCCTGACCTCAGCGGGCCCTGCCTGCAGCTCTTGGGTGCCGTGAACCTTGTCTCGTGGATTCCGGGGCCAGGTGATCAATCAAGTCAGCCTGCGGGCTTGACGTGTTCACACAGAACATGGCAGGTGCGTGATGAAGGGGTCGGGACTGTGACTTCTGCCCCCGCAGCTAGGGAGGTATGACCATCCTGGAGTCATGAATAAGCCTTGCTCTTCTGTCGCTGGTTTTCTTTCTTTCTTCTTTTTTTAAATGTTCCCAGGGTAATCGAAACAAAACATTTAAGGGGCCCGCCAAACTAGACAGAATGTTTGATGGAGTCCAGGCCCAGGTGGGAGGGAAGGCGGTCTGGCCTGTGGGCATTTCTCAGCGGTTTTCTGCTGTGGCCTCCAGGAAGTCACCCCCACCTTTGCTTTCGGTGACAGCCAGAAATGGGTCTCCGTCAGGGACGCCTCTCTAGCTGGTAGATGTGAGCATGATGGCTCCCCTTCCATTCTGCTGGACATATTTTAAACTCTGATTTGATTACATTAAGATGTGCTAGTATCATCAGACCTTCACATAATGTACTTCTGTCCTTGTAGCTATTCCAGCCCTGCAGCTGTTTTTCATC